TATCTATATATATCTATATATCTATATATCTATATATCTATATCTATATCTATATCTATATCTATATCTATATCTATATCTATATCTATATCTATATCTATATCTATATCTATCTATCTATCTATATCTATCTATCTATCTATCTATCTATCTATCTATCTATCTATCTATATGGTATTCAGCTTTGTTCGGGTATTTTCCCACGTCATTATAGTTGTGCTTTTAAAGTTGTAGCAACGTTTCGGCAGAATCTCATCTGCCATCATCAGGCTTCTGTATTGTGTTCGTCTGTGAGTCAGACTTTTACAATTATTTCAGTTTTAAATTTGGTGCTAGCCTACTGCTGTGCCAGAATGGTTTTTTCTTCATCCTGATTGGTTGGGAGTCTTGGTCTGTGTTTATTGGTCTTGGAGTTTGCTGTGTTCTCTTTGATTGGTGTTTCTAATATCTTCTGTCTGTTTTGTGACTTTTTTGTGTCTTGATTGGCTGGCAACATTGTATTCCTGTATTGGAGGCTTTTAGTGCAGCTTTAGTGCAGAATTAAAGTATGTGACAGTATGTGACAGGCTAGAGATTCTAGCTTTCGACTCTCAGATTGTTTTTTTATCCTTTTACACCCGAAAGCTTTGTGTGTAGAAAAACACAGATAGGTAAATATTTAGCACCTGGCCCTGGAAGAATTCTCAAATCCAGAAAGCCACTTCATTTAAAATTTGTATAGTAAAACATATTTACTTTTCAGAATATGCTGTTATACAATTAATGTCTCACTAATGTCTGTCGATATGAAATGATAATCCATTTGTCAACTTTATGTCCAACTGATTAATTCTGATGTGGACTTCATTTTTCAGGGTATATTTACTCACAAAACATTTTGCAAGATTGTATTTCTGTTTTAAACAATAAAGTGATGCATTCAATATCCGTAATGCATTAATATTCTTCAGAGTAGTTCTTTATCAGAATTAGCTTTGATAACACTTTTGCTTCTGAATTTAATTTTTGAGTTTTGGGATCATGAGAACAAGCTCTTATTACGATTATTCACTATATCCCAACTTGTCCAACAGAGCATGCCTTCTTTGCTACAATTCTTGGCTTTCTGTTTTGTGAATGGTTATTATGCAGACCTTCTTGATGAGAGATTAGTTATGGGAAATTAGTTATGATGGTAGTTTCTTCTAGCTTTTTATTAGGACTCTGTAGTGATTTGATTTGAAGGGGACCTCCTTAAATACACTCCTAGGGGAATAAGAATGTATGAACCTCCTGCCATGATTCCCAGGAAAAGACCCAGCTTCTTTAAGGAGTTGACGGCAAGTATTAGGTGACCTTTTCCTTTTGGAATCTGCTCTCACTTTTATGATTTTGAAATCAGATGATCTTTGGATTTCTTTAGATGTGTAATACAGGTAGTCCTCAACTTACTATCTCAATTGAGCCTCACATTTTTGTTGCTAAGCAAGACATTTGTTAAGTGAATATTGTCCCGTTTTATGACCTTTCTTGCCACAGTTGTTAAGTTAATAACAGTTGTTAAGTGAATTTGGCTTTTCCATTGAATTGCTTGTCAGAAGGTCACAAAAGATGAACACACGACCCCAGGGCACAGCAGCCACCGTAAGTATGAGTCAGTTGCCAAGCATCTGGATTTTGATCATGCAACCATGGAGAGGCCACAAGGGTTGTAAGTGTGAAAAATGATCGTCTGTTACTTTTTCTGTTCTCTTGTAACTTCAAATGGTCACTAAATGAATGGTTGTTATCAGTCAAGGACTACCCGTAATATAGTCAATATTATCATGTATAGTCAAAAAATTATTATTTTCCTTCTTAGGCTTCTCAAGTGCTGTTTGCAGAAGATACACTTGAAGAAAGGGAGCCTGTACAGATTACACAAAGGTAAATGAGATATCTTTCATCACTGTTGACTCTGTAAGAGACAGATTGCCTGGGTTCATGGCACCTGAGGAAGCCGTAGCCCAGAAATTCTGTCTTGTACCTGTAACCATTGCAGACTGTATTAGGTTAAAGGTGTGGTAGTTGTACATGGGGATGTCCTTTTTGTTTGCATGGTGATTGTCTGTCAGTGTCCCAACCGTCACGTGATTATGATTTTTGTTTACGATTGCAGCATCAAGGGAGCGCCATTTGCGACCTTCCCAGATAGTTTCCCACAAGCATTGTCAATTTGGGGGGGTGGGGGGGTAGTCAGATACACTTAATAACCATGTGCTTTGCTTAATGACTGTGGCAGAAAAGGTTGCAAAATCGGATTCTGTCACATGATGATTCACTTAATGAGCTTATTGTGTAGCGATAGAAGTTCTAGTCCCAATTGTGGTCTTCAGTTGAAGACTGCTTGTATGCATTATCATTCTTACAGGTAGCCTTCAAATTAACAATTGCTAATTAACAATTACCATTGTGATTGTATTTTCCACTCTCTATTGATTCATCATTAAATGGTGCAGTCATTAAGTGAAACACTGTGGTCATAAGTGATACATTGACTGTGATTTGTGACCTGCCCTGCCAGCTTCTCCATTGACTTTGCTTGTCTGAAGCCACCAGGGAAGGTTGGAACTGGCGATCACATGACTCCAGGATGCTGTGACTGTCCTAAATTTGTGACGGGTGCCAGGTGTCTGACTCTGTATCACGTGACTTGCAGTAGTCATAACTGCGAGGGCTTTAACTTTTTTCAGTGCTGTTGAACTTCAAACAGTCACTAAATGAATGGTTATTAAGCGAGACTACCTATATTCCACATATGGTCCAGCAGAAGAGGATAGCCATCGGAAATGCGTCCCATTCTTTAAAATATAAAGGAAGAAGTATTGATTGCAACAAGATTTTTCATTAAGTACAGCTCCTGCCCCAAAAATGTGATGATTTAATTTGACATAGCTCCTCAAAGCAGTAGGCTTTCAGGAATAGCGACAGCAATAAATTCAGAGTCGATGTGTAGGTGTGGTGATTGTGTATGTCTGCGTGAGTGCATGCACACAGGTGCATGAGTATGAAATGGAAAGAATAGAAGAGGAATCTAAGAAAATCCATCCTAATAGTGACAATATTTGTTTCCTAGAGACAGCAATGTTCTTGGAAGTCCAATTAAAGTGACACATGTAATTTGGGAGCTACAAACTCTGTTTCTTTCAGAAAATGAAAGGAGGGATTGGGGGTTGCTGCTTACTTTTTACATTTGGGTAAACTACTACTGCTACATACCTTCTTTAGCAGGAATAGCAAGATGACCATTTCTAGGATATATTCTTGGAAGTCTGCTTTCTTTCAAGCTTCTTAAAGCAAGAATGAAACATGGAAGCTAGAACATTTTTCCTCTGAGATCAGAAAATGAAGGCCATTTGAAGAGATGGCACAGGTTAGGGAAAGTTTCATGAAATAAATTCCCAGGAAAGTTCCAATATTTGTGCTCTATCAGAAGCTTGCTGGGAAAAGTCACTTAATTCTCACTTTAGATTTCCCAGGTCTTATAATTCAGTGGCCTTGGCATGAGGCCACCAGTTTTTCACTGCCTGATACCCTGTTTTTATTGATCTAACAACATTTTGGCTGAATGCTGTATGAGGAAGCAGATTAACTGATTTGATCCCACCCTGCAGCAAGGGAGGAATAATATGTACAGAGTTGCACAAGGAATTTGTTGGTTTGTCTTTTATAGTAATGCTTTTGGGGGTGAGGTATTCAAGGATGGGTGAGTTTCTTTGTCATCATTATTGTCAGGAGGGACTGAAAGGTGAAGAGCAAAGGAGGGAAAACTTCTGTTTCTCCACAGTGACATTATTTGGGAAGTATTCATTAGCTAGCATTTAATTGGAACAGCCCTAATTCTGCAGTGTCATTTATCTAAATTTCAAATGGTCATAATGCAAAGCCCTCAGTCTCTTAAGGCTTGTTCCATTTTCCCAGAGTTTGAGTAAAGGATTAGTATCCTGCCCATTTTTTAAGCCACAGCAGGGATGATGCAGTAGAGTTTTGCTTGCTAATCCTGGGAACTTCATAATGCAGTCGGTGGCTGCCCTCATCAGACCTCTGGGACGAAGGCTGACCCTTCTGTGCCGTGACATCCAATTTCATCAGAAAGTGCATCTGCCTTGAACTAACCATAGCCACGCATTCTCCGTCTTGTGCACATTAAATGCTGCATCTGGCAAGTGACCCTTTGCCAGCGGAGCCGTATGATGGACAGTGCACAGCACCCAAGTCAGTGGGTTTCAAATGCTCTTCAAGTCTTCAGCTTCTGGAATAATTTTGGAAATTGTTTCTCCCAAAGACATGTCCCTCTGCAAGTTTTTGTGGACCCCTCAGCTTTGTTGCTTCCTAGCTTATGCAAAGTACATTAAGATTGAGATTTAAATAAATGATTGTATGTTTTGTTTCCAGGAAATACGTGATGTAGCAAGCAATGCATGAGGACTTCAAATTGATTAGCCCATTTTATAAATGTCCTAGCAAACTGTTTGGCATGAAGCCTTTTGATGTAAATCTCAATGGTTTACACGGAGCTTGGATTCATAACACCTGGTTTAAGATAATTTTATGAATAGTGATGTTAAATGATTATATTTAATAATCATTATTTTATTTTATTTAAAGAGTGAGAGAAGTCACATGATTTTCCATTAGAGTTTTCTTATTTATCGTAAATTGGTGTTGGCTGTTTCTGTCTGCTTAAGGTTTGCAGCTGAATTTAGTAACTCTTTTCTTTAGTCAGTACTGGGATTTATGTTTTCTATATATACACTTGCATATTTGATCGCTCCAGCAAGAAAACTACACCGAACATACGGGAAGTATGAAAGAACGGTTATGTCATCGTAGCTTAGCCTCTTTCTCTGATGACATGGAGACAACATGACTTTGCCGGAAAGTGGAAATGAGAGGAATTGGGCAAAGTTGAATGTAGCCTAGGGGGAAAAAAATGCTCTTTTCATGTTGGCAAGACTTTGCTATACAGAAACTTTAATCGTGTCAGATTCCTGCCTTCTGAGTGAAGTGAAGATACCGAAAAAACTGATCAGTAAAATATGGATAATGAAGCATTCATTGTCAAAAAGATCCCTTTTATGTTCTGCTTTTAAGGAGTTACTCACTAAGCATATGGCTGTTTTGCTACCTGGCATATCGAGTAGCCACGAGGCGAATAGGCGGCAATATAAATTCAACAAACAAACAAACAAACAAACATATTCCTGTGACCAGGACTAGAAAGCATCAAAGAAGCATTTGCAGATCCCACTAAACAGTCTTCCTTTTGCACATTGCTTTTAGGACATGGTTTGGAGGCAAATTGTTTGCTCTTTTCTTTTCTTTTTTTAAGATTCTTTCCTCTTCCCCCCCATTGCATTCTCTCTTGCTACCCTCTTTGAATAAGTAGAGCTTACAGAATTCCATCTGCCTTTGTGACTTTGATTTATCATGTGTTTGTTTTGGCAGCATTTCTGCCTTGACTCCTTTGGACAATACAAAGAACCCAGACATTGCCACAGAGGATCATGCTGAGGAGGAAATCACCGTGTGCCCTGGTATGACCTTTGTGCGACAGTTTATTTGCAATTTTGAGTCAGAAAGGTTATGTTGTGTCCTTTCAAGAAGGCCCATATTGTTTATTATTATCTGGGATTTCAGGGCATTCCCCCCTCCAAAAGCCCTTTGCTTCCACAGTATATTGCCTGCAGATGCCTCTTGCCCCATTAGTTTCCTCTTTCTATTGTTTGCTTGGCACCAGACTGAGGATGAAATAAGTACTACTTGCTGCTTTATTTTGAATAAGTACTATTTCAGCAGGTGTTTAGGTATAAGGGAACAAGATCTCTTGATTCTGTCCTTCAGAGACTGAAAGACATACTTGTTCCTCCCAGTTCTGAATGAACAACTTGATTCAGTGAAATGGTTCAAGGTTAAACTGTTTTCTTCCAAAGCCAATCTAATTCTGACATTATTTTCTTAAAGCCAGCTTTTTTTCAGTTGTATATGTGACACAGGATTAGGTTTAATTGTGGGGTTTCCTACAGATGATTGGATAAGTTTTTTATTGAGGGAAGTATAGATAGGATAGAAAGAAAATTACCAGCTACATAATGCTGAGCTGAGGGGCTTTATTCTCGCATAATACTGTTCACCAGCTTGCACCAACAGTGTACAGTTTACATGCCCTACTATTCCCTGTTTCTCATTGAGCCATAGTGCGGCACTAGTTTTATCTACACATAGCTGCACTATGGATTTAAACTTCTACTTCAGCTGTGTTGTTGCACATTGTCTGCTAACATTTGTGACAAGTCTAAAAAATGTTTAGAAACTGTGAAGACACTGTAAAGCAAATGGGATACGTTTTATCAGCTAGTGTGGAGTGTGCTGAGGAGGGGGAGAGGTGGTTGGAGGGGGCTTACAGAGTCTAAGAAGGGGGTGGGCTGCCACCGCTGCTAACATGGAGATTTCTGTTGCAGAAACCCAGCAGAGTCCATCACAAGCTATTGAGTCTGAAAGTGGAGAAATCCATTCATCCAGCAAAGATGCCTTTCTACAGGTAAGCAAGTCCCTAGGGAATAACAGCCAGAAAAGCATCTGGAATGCGGAGTCTCATTTTTTACCCGTTTTCCAAAATGAGCTGTTTTGCAAACGAGGCAGCTTGCTGGAAAATCTTGTCCAGAAATGTGCGCTCTCTTCTTGGGCCTCCTGGTGTTTTCTTCCTTTTTATCATCAATTTCTCCTCTGTGGTTATGGCACTTCTTGTTAGCTAAGGGTTTTCTGTTGACTTTCTCACATTTGTCATTTTGGGTGCAACACTTATCGCTGTGGTGCTTTTGTGAGCTGTAATATGCTAAAATATGCCAGAGGACACCGCTGGATGCTCCTACGGAAGGGGAACCAGTTGCTCCTGGCTCATGTTTCTAATTGAACAAAGGGGTTACAAGAGCAAAATTGATTTCACAGTGAGATTAAACTCCTTCTGTTGCTTATAGAAAACGGAGTGAGCAGAATGTATGGTGTCAATGCTGCCTTGAATGGTGCTGTCGAATTTTGGATTGATTGCTATGATCGTATTAGTGCTTTCATTTAACAAGCTTAGGTGTTTCTCTAAATTAACCCAGAGAAAATATTCTCTTGCTTGTATCATTATCACCAGATGAATGCTGTTGTGTTGAGTTTTCTCTCCCTTCTCTCAGTGTACCTGTGCTGCAGTCACCATGCAGCTGTCATAACAATGACATCTGACTTTGGTTGCTGTTTCTGGTAAAGACACCTAGTTAGGTTGCAATTTAAGGGGGAGGGTGAGATCAAAAGGACTCCCAAGTGCTGTTCTGACAGGTTACACGAAGGCAGAGGATTGAAGAAAGCTTGACAAGATGACTCAAATGCGAAAAGCTCATTCTTAGAGCCTCCAGCCTCCACAGGGCATCTGCCTATACGAAGATGGCTATGGTATATAAAGGCAGCATAACCTTGTCATAGACATGCTAATTCATAGCTCAGGCACTTCTGGCCAAGTGCCCTTCGTCTGCTAGAATTTGGGGCTCTATGAGAGAGTGTATCAATGAATAACTGAATGCTCATGGTCTAAAAGGGCACTAGGCTGGTCTCAATTAGGAGAAGGCCCTTTATATTTTATGAATGGGTTCTGGTCTGGAGTTAGGAGGGGGTGGATTTCTGTTGTGGCACTGATTCATTGGAATGACATTTCCCTCGAAAAAAATATATATAAATAAGACTTTGCTACAACTTGGGCTCAGGCTGAAATTCTTTTTCATTCCTCCTGACATTTGAAAGGTTATGAAGGTACAGTTGAACTCATAGCTGTTGCAATGTTATTTTATGTATTTCATTATTGTATGCTGTGTTATATATTCCTGGATTTAAAACACATTTTTCAAACACGATGCAGTATGTGAAGGTACCTTCCATGATAAGAGGTATATATAAACATTTAAAATAAATAAATGAATGACTTATGCAGGCGGGCGGCCAGAAGGACAGTTGCTCAGAATAAGAAAGTAGCCCATGTTAAAGTAGCCCATCGCCTTTCCTTAAGATGCTGAGCAGAGGGATCCAAATGCTATGGCATGATTTAATCCTCAGGTTAAACAGTGTTTGAGCACAATCATACCTTGTGTTCTGTGGCTGAGCAATTAATGAGACAAACTATTCAACATCAATGAGCTTGATTCTGTATCCACACCGCTGCTGCCTCATTTGCTGGCCCACAGAGGAGGCTTCAGCTGCAAACTGCAGGGGATACTGTTGCTTTCCCCTTGGCTGGGTGGGCTGCCAATCATGCAGTTAAAGCATCTCTCTGCCATTCACCCAGGACTTATCGAAAGCCATATGGATGTGTCCAGGAAAGGATACTTTTTAAAACTGAAATAAGGATTTTTCTTGCATCATAGTTCTCTTTTGAAATAGGTTAAATGGGCACAGTATTGAAAGAGCCAAAGGGCTGGCTGCTGCCTCCCCTTTCTTAGCTCTAATTCTTGAGGGGAAAATTTTCTGACTGCAAAAGAGATATAGCAGCTGGGAGTGAAGGAAAAAATCTAGTTATAATTTCTCTGGTTCCAGTAGGCAGCCTGTTTTCTCCGCTCACATCTCTTTAGGTGCAGCTAGATAATTACTGATAAGCTATTCTGAATGATTAAACCAACAGAAAGAGCAAACTCTCACGGGAATGTCAGAAAATACACATTCTCTTTTTTTTATATAGTCATTTTATTAAAGGTTACAATTAGAAAGATAAAAATACAATACAAACTAAAAAAAAGAAAAGAATAAAAAGAAAAAATAGAAAATAAAGAAAAAATAATGTAGTAAAGAAAAAAAGACATATACATGTGACTTCTTCATTTACCACAAGTATAAACAATTTTAATAATTCTTCATTTTCTCTTAAAATACAGTGACTGATCTCTTCTTCCCATATATCATCTCTTATCTATAAACAAATCCTTAATGACCCATTGTTCATTCCTGATCAGCAAAAATTTATTAAGAGTTATCAGAGATAGCCTACCTATTTTAACCTGGATCAAATAAACCAGCTTTATATTCCTTCCTTTTACTTTTAACTATCTTGATCTTTAGTCCCTCCAAATAATATCCTAGAACTAGATTTCCTTTCATTTTTTCTTTGCCCCTCCTCACAAAACCCTTCAAAGCTTTAACAAGCCTCTTTTGTAAATCTCAATATAGCAAAATTATCAAGGTCATTCACTATTTATTCTGTGTTGCTAAAGTTGGAGAGCTTAGAGTATGCTGACTGGCCTGTTCAATTTACTAAGCAGGATTTGAGCATGCTCACAAGAATTTATTTCTTCTCTTCTGGAGTTGGGAACTAAACTACAGAATTGTCTTTATATTTTAAAATTTAATATAATTTAATTATAACTGTTTAAAAATATTTTGAGGACTGGGAGAAGGAATCTAAGAAAGGAGTCCATATTGACTATCTCCATCTAGAACAGTTGCATCAAACAATTGACTGTCTGACGTGGTTGAGTGCCTTTTAGAAATTTAAGCCATAGTATATTTTCTAAGCTACAGTAGTTTGGTTTAGTTTAGCTTGGACTCTGAATTTAACCATTGTGATTTGTTTACTATGCTTTATGCCTTGTATGTGTTAGAGTTTGCAGCAGAAATTCAAGTCCAGAAAACACACAGATAACTGATTCAGCAGGATCATTAACTTTTTGTAAAGATAATATGAGTAAAGTTTACAATACCATTTGTAGATTCTTTCAATGTAACATAAGCAAAAACACAAACAGCAGCAGCTCAGAGCAGAAGTCAGTTTCAGTTTCAATTCTCAGCAAAGCACACAGAGCCAAACCCCACCCAAGCTGTCAGCTCCCATTGGCTGGTCTGTTGCCACTGCTTACTCCCTTGCTGACTTTGTTAACCATGTCTTTGCCAGTTAATGAATATGCTCTGACAGTATGGATAGTCACTGTGTCTTATTCAGCAACATGTGGTTAAAATAAATTAGAACTAGAGATGATCAGTCCAAGGAACAAGTCTCTCAGATCTCAGGTTAGCATATTTTTTAGGAAAAAGATAAAAGTAAAAAGTCAAGAATTTTGCCAAGTACTTTACTTTGAGGATAATAGTATAGATATAGGCCAATTGAGACTGTCTTTCTTGCACTCATTTAACATGGGGGGGGGGGCTGTCTTTTTTGAGAAAGTGGGTTAGCTTGCATCTGTAGATTGTTTAGAATCTGCTAATAATCTTCCTATGAAAATGAGAACCAGCTCTTACATCAGGCAAGAATGAATGAATGAATAAATGCTGCTCAGAGTCACCTTATACAATGAGATCGGTGGGCAGATAAATTGGATGGATGGAAGGATGGATGTAAAAGAACTATGTATTTAATAATGCTGCCCCAGCCTGGAAACTAAAGCAAACTTTTTTCTATTCATATATAAGTAACAAGCTTATCAGGTTTAACAGTAGCTAGTATATGCCTAGAAGTTATTCACAAGTGCTGAATAATGGTTCTTTGTTAAAAAAAGAAGAGCTTGCTCAGGTCAGATCCTGTCTGATTCATTTTCCTCTGCTTATTGTTCTTAGTTCTTACTATTCTCTACTTCAGAAATATTTAGCTACATACGAATCAAAAATTAATTTTGTTTAGAATAATTAATATAACTTTAAAGAAAAGTTTGATTGGATAAAAGGAGGAGAGCAAGAGGCTCTGAAACGTAAGAAAGCTTTAAAAAGTGTGCTTAATAGGACCATGTGGCAATTTGAAGTTAAGTTTGAATTCTCTAAAACAACCATATCTTCCTAGGACTGCAGAGTAATTTCATCCTGGGAAAAGACATAGCTGCTTCGAAGACAATGTTCCCCAACCTATCTGGGTTTGTGGGCTGGTGGCAGGGGAGGGAGAGGAGACAGTTCCGCGCAAGTGGTGGGCGAACACGCAGGCATCACAGTTTGTGCAAGCAATTTGTGCAAACGGCAGGCATGTGCACCTGCTATTCGCACAAATGGAACAGCGTGCACGCTCCTGCCGCTTTTGCAGCCCAGTTCCAAATGGGTCGCAGTCCGGCACTGGGCTGTGGCCTAGGGGTTTGGGGACCTATTTTAAAAAGTGGATATAGGAGCTGTGTTCACACTCTCATGTGACATGGAAGCACCTTTGGGAAACTGAGTCTGAAGTACTGCATAGCTTAATTGGCTAAATGTTAACTTAGAATTCAGAATTGGGGCTTGTTACTTGAATTCCCACCATCAGAAAATGAAATGAGCCACTTATTCACCGCAGATCTGAATTTCAACCAGGTTCAAGTGAAGATACTATTTTCCCAAGAACTAAACTACATCCTGCTCCCAAAGGGAAAAATGCGGAGTCTTTTTCAATTATTCTATATGTGGATTTCAAGCAGATGGAGTCAGTAAAGAGGAAATATGCATAGAGAAGCCTCAAGGTGTATTTTATCCTGGTAGAAGAGCACACTGATGGAAGTATGGCCACCTAGGGACAGGCAAACTCTGGCTTGGGTGCATGAAAAAAATCTGTCAGTCACTTTTATTTTTGTTTTTTTCTCAATTTAAGGATGTTTTACATTTTCCCAAGAGAATGGTACACTGGTGGCACAGAATCCTTGCTTTAAATAGGACATATGGCTCCTAAGGGGAGCCTCATGGTGATTTGGGAGCATATTTACTGTCTTTGAAAGGAGCATTGATTATCAGCAACATAGGGCTCATGTATCTGTGCCAGGGTTGCAAAATGTTGAGTTGCAAAATGACTTCTGGGACTGGGAAGATCAAACCAAGGGAGGATCAGAAATGGCAGACGATCAAGACTGAGCACGGACAACAAATGTTGCAACACAAGTTTACCTGATTTGTTATCTTTTTATACAGGGTGATGAAGATGCAAGAGAGCATGCACCTGGGCACAGCCCTCAAGCTGATAACCTCATGTCATGTCCGCTGTGCGAACTCAGATTCCCAGCTTCAAAAATTGAGCTTCATGCTATGAATTGTAATGGCACTGGAGAGGACGCAGTTGAAGATGGTCCAGGTTTGCTGCTTTGTCTGGTTTGCAATTGTGTTTCAGTTCTGGCCGATCCCTTGCATCTGTTTGCAATGATGGCGTTAGTTAGGAAATTCTTTTGGGGGACAACTTCCATACAGTTCTGTATAGTTTAGCACCTTAAGCCATAATTAGTCTCCATTATTTGTTAATGCATCCGCTCATTTTCATGTTATGAAGTGAACTCCAAGCCTTTCGATCTTGACTAGCCCCTGTTCTCATCCATAACATGCTTCTCTTTCCAGGTTTACTAAGTTATTAGTGAGAAATCCTGTCCCTAGCAGTGGCTAACGTTGCTGCATATGCTGCTAGTTTAAAAGAGTTAACTTTGCAAACAGCTCTTACTAGGCATTGATTTTTAGTAAGTGAATGTCTGCCTGATATGAACAAGTATCCTAAGTATTTAACCTACACAGTCTATTATGTATAATACTCAGAAAAAATATATTCATTGTATTTAGACATTGTATTTAGTGGCAGGAGCGGTGCCTTAGGCTTTTTCCATGTATGAGGAGAGTACCAAGTTTAAATAGCTATTGCTTCCCTGTGTCCCAACAATGTTGTGGGGTTTACATGAGATTGAGAAGCTGAGTTGATTTGCAATTATCTAAGCTTAATTCCTGTTTCAGAGAAACACTGCAAAGATAGCTTTCTGATAGCTCCAGAGGAAACGGTAGAATAGGTGACTTCCAATTAGTAGGAATTCTCATATCCCAGAGTCAAAACGCTGAAGGTGCTATCCCCTTCCATTATTTATTAGAAATAACAGACAGATCTATTGCTCTCCTCACCTCCCATCATTATTACTTTTCCCATTTCTGTATGAGCAACAGGAATGAGAACAAAGAGATCGCTGGTCATAGAAAATGAATGAATGAATGAATGAATGAATGAATGAATACTGGTTGGATCATCAATATTTCTACCCTCCCATTGGTCAGGTGATTAGTCTGTCATTCCTTCCCCTTCCCCATCTACCCAGTCCTCAGGAAACAGCAGTGTTGGACTTGGAATTCAAACTGTAGAATTCCAAATGTCCCCTTGATATTTTTGTGATTTGATTACTATAGTATCAATTCAGTTTTCTCCACAGATGGATTGATTTTAGTCAGTAAAAGAAACCAAACTAACTAAAATCATTAATGCAGAGTCTGACCTCCCCTTTAATAAGAGAGAAATAAGACACCTGATTTCTAGTAAAGACAATATTGTAAATATATCATAAGATAGGGAGAGGGTATAACCAATTTGCATTTTAATGGATATGATTAATATAATGGCATAGTTCTTTTAATTAACCTTGTCATGCCACTAACTATGTCATGTCAAGCTGCACTACATTATAGGTAAGCATTATTACAGTTCTAAAATTACTACTTTCAAATACAAACAAGTTGATTTAGCCCTTCAGAAATCTTTCTATATTGAATTAGAAATTTGAACAATTCAAAAATAATGACTTTTGTGTCTAATCATTTGTTGTCAATAGTTGCCTAAATCTTTTTATGCTGCAATGAGAACTAATATTTCTGTAATGAATGTCATTTTTCCCATAAATTCTAACAAGGACTTGTGTATTTTTAAGAATAATGTGTTATATGCTCCCCACTATACCTTGTGTTGTCTCCCTGTTTGTACCATAGTATTGTATACTAAGTATACAATTATTTCAGTTATTTATTTACATGTTTATATTTCTACCGGTATGTATAATTAGCCATAACATGCACTCACTGCTATACATGTAGTGGCTTGTGCAGCATTTCATTAGGACTGTAATGCAACCTGAATTATGGCAGAGATTCTACTTCCAATATGGAGAAAAGTATTTCCTTTTGCTTTAATTGTTTCCAATGATTGGTTAGTTATTTGCATTTATGAATAAGATAGTTTCTAAAAACGGTGTGCTGTGATACTAATGGGAAGAAATATGAAGAGGAGAATGTAATTATCCAGTCATGAGGTATTTTATGTGGTTTAACGTTTTGAAAATGGTAGAAGTAAGGCAAAATAAAATGCCTTATATTTATTTTTTGCCTTATAAATGCAAAATATAAAAAACAGAGAATACAGTATATGCTACCCTTTACTTTGTATATAAACTGACAAACATCTTCCCTCCACTTAATGTTTTGCCTTGCTTGGATGTATGGCTAAAATGGCTCTCAAATATAACTTTCTATACTTCCCCCCAAACTAGCTTTTGACTACTTTTTCCATAGACCCCTTAACTCCTTCACATGGCATCTACCATGCTGCAACTGCACTATGGCAAATCAAAATCATAACTGAATCCTCAGGGATTTAGTGCTTCTCATGGTCTCTGGGTCAATTATTTGAATTAGATCAGACTTGTATCTGCAAAGTTTGTTAAGACTTTTTGATATTTTCCTGTTAAAGCAGTCTTCTAAAAGTTGATATAACTACCCGAAGCTTGGTGAGTCACGTTTGCCTGATGTTATTTTGAAAAAAAATGTCCATTTCACATCCTCCGTACTTGACCAGTTGCTTCTGAATAGGGTTTATATTTGGCTGTTCTGCAATCAGAACAACAGCACTGGGGAAAAAAATCAAAACTTTGAGCCATCCTTCTCCTTGGTCTGTTCCAAGAAGGCTACTGTTCTTCTTCCTGAAGGTTGACTTGGGGGTTAATGATTCAGTTTGGGGAGCTCTTGATTGGTTTTCCTGTGGAGGTCTCTGGTACTATAAACTCTACCATCTTTCCAGTGTTTTTCATTACAAAAGAACCTCTGTGACTTGTCCATCTATTGCTCTGTAACTGCTTCCTGTAAGGTTGTTATTTGAGTTTGTAATTTAAAGAAGCTGCATCAGCTTGGCTGATACAGAAGACCATTTCACCTTAGATATGGTTACATGGCTTTTTGTGTTCAGGCAATTACTGTGGTTGAAAATACACACACACTTGCAGCTTTTAGCTAAGCTGGTCTTTCATTTTTTTGGCAAACCTATCTGAAATCTTTTCTGGAAGTGTATAAAACGCCTTCCTCACCACTGTTATAACTTGTCAAGACTGGAGGGATGTTGGTATGCGAGGATGTGTCATTGGATAACATAACTTATATATGGATAAATTATGGCTCAGATGGAGTCACTTGAATGACTCCAGTTGGATTCCTCTCAGCCATTTCTCTCTCTCTCTCTCTCTCTCTCTCTCTCTCTCACACACACACACACACACACACGTGTACACACACACACACACACACACATGCCGGGTAGTAGTATAAAGTTTAGCCTTTGAAAGAAAAGTTGGGGTGGGGGAACAGGGGACATATGATAGCTGTTAACTGAAAGAACTGCATCCAGAAGAAGGTCAAGATCTATTTTCTGTCACTTCACGGAATGGAACACAGAATAATACATTGAAGTTGCAGGAAGGCAGATTCTGGTTGCAGTTCAGGAAAAAGTGCTTAAAGAGTAAGAACAGTTTTGACAGTGAAACCAATTACCTAGTGAGGTAACGGCTTCAGTTCTTTGAATATGTTTAGGCAGAGGATGGGCAGCTAGCTATTAGGGGTGCTTTAGTTGGATTCCTGTAGTGAGCAATATATTGGACTGAATGGTCCTTTTCCATTCCATGCCTTGGAATAGCCAACTTCAGGAGGGGGTCAGGAACTCTAGTAAGAGCTCAGAGTCAGCAAGATAATCAAGTGTTGATCCCAATAGGAAGAAAGGGGGCTTCAGGCTACGGAAGGCTGTCAGAGGCTCCTGCATACCTGCTTTGGTTGACACTCAAGTGTGTGAGGTCCTTTCTTGGCAGGTTACCGTTATAACTCAGATTGGGGGACCCCTGGGTTTCTTTTCTAGGTACCTGCTAATTACATTAGTGCAAGTCTCTTTTGGAGAGCAGTCTTCTGCTTCTCTTTATTCTGCTCTCTAGATATTTCCCAGATGTTAACCCGAGAAGGTCACCAAATATCAACAGTTAATTGTCTTTCCATCCATAATTAGTCAATTTCCAATTTTGTTGAAGAGAAATAGTGTCATAATGTTGCAGAATGCATCTAGAGTTGAGACAGGGTGCCATTCTTATCCCTCTTGCAGCCACACTTCATGTACAAAGTGTCAGTCTTTCTTTCCCTTAGCTCTCCTTCTGCTGATGCTGTTTTTTAAAAAAGCTTCAACACCAAGAGAAGTGAGACTGATACAGCATTTTAAGGCCAAAATAGCAAGAACTAATACCATTAATAAGGTGTTTTTTTTAAATAGCATGGCTGGTTAAAAAATATGCATGTATTTAATACTGGGGAATGTAAGGATTGTTGGAAAGGTCTTGTTTCAACACAGTGGGAAGCCCACTGCAAAAGGAAACTAGCTTAGAGTCATTTGTCTCATTTAGGGATATTTTCCCCAGTATTTATAAAAATTTAAATATCTGCTATTTTCTTTTCTGGTAATATATTGAATATGATGCAAAATTGAAAAGAGCTACTTGCAAAAGGATACTAGTACATTGAAAAAATACTCCCAAGATTTGTAGTCTGCTTCTTTGAGGAGCTATATGTCAGGCTAGTATGGGGGACTTTCAATGGTATTTTATCATAGAAATGGGAGTCCAAGACGGTATCTCTGAAAAACTTGAAAAAGAGGTTATTTTCTACTTGGGGTGCTTGTAAATACATTGCTGATGCTGCTCCTTCAACTATATTTCTTTATATTTAAGATGCATAGGTTACTAGCATGGTCTGGTAAATATAGCCAAGGTGTGGAATTATAGAATCATAGGGTCAGAAGGAATCTTGAAGGTCTTCTAGTGTAACTACTGCTCAACCAATATACCTACACCATTCTGGACAAATGGTGGTCCAGTCTTTTCTTGAAAACTTCAAGTGATGGAACATCGACAACTTTAGGAGGCAAGCCATTCCACTTATTAATTGTTCTCACCATCAGAAATTTCTCCTTCGTTCCAGGTTGGATCTTTCTTTAATGAGCTTCCACCCACTACTGCCCTCAGGTGCTTTGGA